AGTCCTTTAATTCCATGAATTATGAATTTGAGTCTATATTTCGATTTAATAAAATTTAGCCCATAAATTGGGTGTGACAAAAAATCTAACCAAATAATCTCGAATTAAAAGGTAGATACGAACATATCTAACTACATCAATAAACAGACCACAAAAGGGATCAAGCTATTCAAAGACCAAAAAATTATAAATCAGAATCGAGCGACATGAGGAAATTGTCCACAAACGCAAATTATGTATCTAAATCCAATATGAGGGTCCAAGGCAAGGAAGATCAGCATAATAACAAATGAGCACCATCTTAATCAGTCGTGACGATGTCAAATCCAGTCTTGAGAAAAATGATAAATGAAATAACGGTCAAACGACAAAAAATGTGCCAAAAGACATAGTAAACATGTCATAAAGATATAATTATTAAAAAAATTTAAAACAAGAAAAAAAGATAAAAATACGACATAATAAAATAAAGATAAAACAATGAATATTGGCGGTCAGAAATCAACATTAAAATTGATATCATCGCCGCTTATAAAAATAAAGAAAAAAATAGACTAATGACAAAAAGAAAAGAAAGAGAAAACTAAGGCCGAAAACCTTGTTATCGTTAAGTTAAGGTCTTATTTACGGATTTTGAATTTTTTTAAGAAATCATTTTTTCGATATTTGAGTCATGTTCGATTCTATTAATTGAAATTTTAACTTAAATTAAAATTATAAATTAATTTTGAATCTATGTAGCCTGTAGCAGGTTCCTGCTTATTTTTGGATAATTCAATGAAATTTATCCAAAAAAATTATCAATCAAAATTTTGTACGCAAATTCATTTTCCCGTCGTTGCCGGTGGAGTAAAGTTGAAATTATGCATGTTTTGACTTGGCAATCAAATTTGGTTCTTCAGCCATGCCCAAACCCTATCCCAATAAAAAGTAATTAGAGCCTTAATTTGCCCTACGCTATAATAATAATAATAAAATCCCCCGACCTTTTGTACAACCCAAGCTTAACAAATGGCTCTATAATTATTGTATAGAGAATAGGAGATGAAAAAGTTAATTAGCTTTAATTTAATTAGTATAATTGTTATTATAATATTTTAAAATTATAAATTTAACACACTCAAACATACAATAACAACATTGAATCTGTGTGAAATATAATTAATATATAAGATATGAATTATTAGTTCAAAATCAAAATAATTAAATTTATTAATATAATTACTAGCTACACTAGTATAAGTCAATTCATCTCTATAATAAATATGTCACATCACTTGCTAATAAAATATTAGTATGTACTGATTTTCGGCTTTGCCCTAATTTTGTATGGAAATGTCCAAATGAAACAAAAATTAAAGCTCAAAAGTCTATTTCCATGACATGGTGGAAACGCAGTTTCAACGTACATCACTTTAAGTCAGTGAATGCAAACGTTAAACAACGTGCATGCTTTAAACTCCTCTTGCTTTCTTATAATAATAATAAAAAAAAAACTAGGCTTTATTCTGTCCTTCTGTCAAAACTTGCATGCACCTTCACTTTTTTTAAAAACTTTTTTTAATAAATAAATTTACAACTCTCTAACCATTATTAAACACTTCAAACTATTGATTATTTTATTTTAGGTTAATCGCGTATATTTAATCAATTAAACAACTAATCCAAATCAATCATTACGCAGACTTGTTAGGAAAACGATCATTTTAACGCATAATCTTGCTTAAATGATCCGGTCTCTCATCTCCCTAAACTATCTTAGTGTTGGTTAATAATATAAAATCATTAAGATATTAATTTTTAATTTACATGAATTAATATCATTTTCATAAGTTTATTATATGTTTGATTATATATAGAGAGAGAGGGGGGGGGGAGTAAACAAATATAGGTGAGAAAACGAAAACAAAGATGAACTCTAATGCTCTAAGATTGAAATAATTTCCAAAACTAAGAGGGGAGATATCATAAAAATTAGTATTTGAAGTCCAAGTTTCAGCTCACGAGTAGGAAAAGGTTTCTTGATTTGTCTTTTATATATGCATACACATTAACGTGATATTGGAACATTTTAGACAGAAAAGAACATAAAAAGGAGTCAAGGTCATGAATTATGAAGAAAAAGAAAGGGGAAAAAACATCAAGTAATAATGTGAGTACGTGACCGCCAGAAGCAGCCTCATGGTAAACATCTTTTCTTTATTTTATTTTTTGGAAAATCAAGTTATTTTTTTTACTTTAATATCTATAATATTCATCTATCGCAAAATCCATGAATTGATTTTGTTATTTATATTTTATTAGTATTGATATTTTTTCATAAACTAAATTTAAATAATAATATTTATCTTAGTGATTATTCATTTGAAATGAATTAGTTTCGATTATAATTAATACTATTATAAAACAAAAGAAAAAGAAAAACTACTAGTGACGTTGATGATAATTTTTATGTTTGATTTATTTAGCTATACTTTGAACCTACCTTTGTAGAAAACACATAAAGAAGGAATAAAGGTAAGCTTGAAATTTGTAGTTTCGTGTAGGATTAGAATTTCTGTTGGTTATAAATAATTAATCTTTCACTTTCAACATAAAAATATCGAAATTTATGGGGGGAAAAAGTAAATTATTATATTAGAATTAAAAATTAAATTGGATATAGATTTTGATTTGAACTAAGGTGTACCACACACACAAAAATGATGAGATGATAATTATCTCGTGTAAATTTACGTATAATGGCACACGTATATGGGACAAGATCCCTAGACCAAATAAATAAAACTAAGTTTTAAATATATTTGATGGGCTGATAATATATAAATTTAATAAAAAGAATCTCTTAGTTTCCTCTAACTATTGATATTGAACAAATTATCGACGAGGATTGATTTAAATAATAAGCAGTTTGATATCACTTAAGCAGATTTTGAAGTTCGAGTCCTTATGTATGCAGAAAATCTCTGTTGAGAGTCTCGCCCACCAAAACCAGGTATGAGACCCCGGTTAGTCTAGATTAATCAAGACGAAACCTTAGAACTAGAGGGTACAAAAAAATATTACACAAATTGATCCCCTAAAAAATAAGAATAATTTAGTATTGTAATTTTTTTAACAATAGCAATTGAATTTTATTAATAACAGAAGGAATCAAAATTACAATGTATCGTAATAAAAAGATAAATTTGGAGACAATAGTCACCAAAATACTCAAACAAAAAGTAAATAATAAACCTAAAAATACGAAGAAAATTAAAATCTTCCATTGAGAATGACGACCAATATCAAAACCCAATAGCCTTCATACAAACTCCTTGTCTTTGTCAAATGAGACGGTTGACGAAGTGATAAATGAGTGGAAAGCGAACCAAATAATATGGCAGGCTGCTTCGCTACACAATTCTAATTACATCGGCAAACAACCTTTTACTAAAAGAGGTGATCTGACTATATGTGATCACCGACTAACCAATCAGAAAATAAATGTCGTGATGGTTTTTATGCGAGAACCAAAACAACCGTAAAGGTATGCGAAAAAACGTAACGAAAAATATGAGGATCGTGCCACAAGAGTATATAAAAATCATGTCACAATGACATATATGCTTATTCAAAATTAAAAAGACTCAAGAAAAAAATATAAAAATATAATATAAAAAAATAAGAGAATTAATATTATCTATCGGTTGGCAATCAACATTAAGATTGGTGCCGTAACTGGCTAAACAAAGATCAAAGAGAAAGAAGAAGACGCCACAAAAATATTGTAAAAAGATTAGGTTGAGAAAAAATAGAGGCGACTAGAAAAAAGAGAGGTGACTTTAAAATTTATTTGATACTAAGGATGAAAATGAATAATGATAGAAAATTTATTAATCAAATGATTAATATTTAAAATAAGAAGATGATTATGAATTATAATCATTTGATTCATATTTTCTTTTATCTTTTTCTAGTTTTCATCTTTAATATCAAGTCAAGTTTTACAACGAAGGGCAAAATTTACATATTTTATAAAATATCAAGAGCTAAATTTGTTTACTTTTTAAAGTTATAATAAAATTTACATAATATATAAACGTTGAAACTAAATTTATTATTATACTAATTAAAGTTATATAAAATTAATAGATAATTAATTACATGATTGATTAATTTTAATTGACCACTTTTAAAATTAAAAATATTAAATTACTTATTTTCTCAAATAAATAAACTTATTTAACGCGGATTGGTCAAACAAATGTGGGACTCACATCTTAACTAAAGAATCCGTCCGTCGAGATCATTGACTTTTTGCTTTTACCCTCACGTGGAATCAAAATGCGGCCAATCACAGCGGTGCCGTTTCAGAACCAGTCAAAGGCAAAGCCGCTTTTGAAAGGAAATTGTAATAACAAGTAAAGCTATATTTAAAAGCATAAAATTAGATTTTCACACGTCAAAAAGGCAAATACTAAAATATTATTTTAGGAAAATAATAATTAAAATAACCCCAAACCATTAATTACATGATTAATTAATTAAATCTATATTAAATGTTTGATAGAAAACTGAACCGCCTTTTTTATTATAATTGACTACGCAATGTTAATCTTTGTTTAAACCATGGAACTAATAAAAAGGATAATTTAAAACACAAAAGATATTTCTTTTTTTTTTCCCCATTATTTATTTATTTTTAATAATTTATAAAGACAGTTTTTTTCTTCTCTTTTTCCAATACTTTTTGAAGACTCTTTCTCATGAATTTCTCAGTGAAATAAACATTGCGGTGAAGCAGAGCCAAGTGTCCGGTTTGACGCACCATCTTACCTCACTCTCATTGAAATCCATTTTCATGCTTTGAGAAATTAATACGATCCCCTACCTCATCACTCCTTCCACATTTGGTCTAAGTCCAATCCCCATTTTAGATGCCCTTTTGCCACCATCTCTCTCTCTCTCTCTCTCTTGTTTCACAAATCAATTTAATCAAGTCTTCCTATATAATCCCCTTATCCCTTTTCTTTCTCCCATTTTCTGGACTCCTTTGATACACACTGTTGATGAAACCCACCTTTTTGTTCTTTCTTTCATCCCAAGCAATCCCTTTTTTGGTATATATGTTCGAAGCCTTTTGTGTTTTCCTGGAGAGAAACAAGCTGTGATAATGGAGCCCGTTGATCATCGACGAGTAGTCAACGAGATGGACTTCTTCGCCGGCGATCGAACTTCCGGACGACATGTGAAGGCCGATGATGATCATCATGTGAAGAGCGAAAGTGAACGTCCTGGGTGGCTGCAAGATCAAGCTGAGGATGTAAATGTAAGGGAATTGTCACATATGATATATGCATACATGTATGTATGTATATATGTAGAAAGTTATTTACTTCGAACTTTTCTTTTTTTTGTTTTAGACTGGTTTAAATCTCTTGACAACAAATAGTACTGCAAGTGAGAAATCATCACGGAACCTGAAAGAGAAACAAAGGGTAAATCAGGTTGGTGAATATATGGTGACTGACAACGCATTTTGATCATGACTATTTTTCAATCAAAAGGAGATTTTGGAAGGTAATATTTGACTTTTTTTCATGGGTACAGTTAGCAGATGTTCGAGCTGAGTTGGAACGGATAAACGCGGAGAATCAACGATTGAAACTCACTCTTAGCCAGGTGAATAATAACTACCATGCTTTACAGATGCATCTTGTTTCATTGATGGAACAACAACAAAACCGAATAGCTGAGAGCTCGGAAGCTAACAATACTGAGGTAAAATTGCAGCAGATATCATATATAATTGCACCATAGGTCAACCATTAGTTACTGATATATAATTGTATGTGATCTTTGATCATGTTTGTATTAGACTGATAAACCAATGGAGGATAAAACACACGGTGAAGGCATTGTGGCAAGACAATTCATGGATCTGGGTCAACCAGCAAAAGCTGGAAAAGATGAGGGTTCGGAATCTTTGTCCGAGGATCGATCGCCCGAGTTATCAGGTTCGGCCGGGAACACCATTGTTGAGTCTATGGAGAGAAGAGAAAAGAAAAGTACTACCACTGAAGGCCTTCCTCATCCTCATGGATGGTCACCTAATAAAGCTCCCAAGTTTAATAATACCTCAAAGGATAATGAAGAAGCACAACAGACCATGGCCATGATTCGAAGAGCTCGCGTCTCGGTTCGAGCTCGATCCGAAGCATCAATGGTAAGGTTATTAGAATTGAGTTATTCAAACAGTAATCTTGTTGCCAATACTGTTTTTAGTTTGATAATTACTTCTAACGGTTGATAAAATAGCAAAAAGAATCAAACTCCCCACGTGCAAGAAATAATGGCGGTGAGCACACAACTTTAGGTTGGCACCCGCCTACTTTTGTTGAACCAGATTTTGAGAAAGTCATTACCCGAAGTTGTAAAGTTATATTCAATTTTTCAAGAACATTTTAGGGTTTGTATATCACAGTGAACCACACGAAATGACATTGACAATGACACCTGGTGAAAGTTGTCACTAAGTTTTAGTCCTTTTAGTTAATAAACTAAGACTGATTCAAAGCTAACATGTACGTATTTCAATCGGCGCAGATTTCTGATGGTTGTCAATGGAGAAAATATGGGCAGAAGATGGCAAAAGGAAACCCTTGCCCTCGAGCTTACTACCGTTGCACCATGGCTACCGGTTGTCCGGTTCGCAAACAGGTGCAACGGTGTGCGGAGGATAGAACCATCCTTGTTACAACTTATGAAGGAAACCATAACCATCCACTACCTCCGGCCGCAATGGCAATGGCGTCGACAACGTCGGCCGCTGCATCGACGATATTATCCGGTTCGATGCCTAGTGCAGACGGGATCATGAACTCGAATCTCGTCCCCAAAGGGATGATGCTTCCTGGCTTACCCAGTTTGGTCACCCTTTCGGCTTCAGCTCCGTTTCCGACTCTCACATTGGACCTCACTCACAACCCTAATCAAAGACCATTGAACCAATTTCACCCTATTTCTCCACATTGGCCTCACAATTCATCAAGCTTCCCGCCTCACCTGTTCGGCCACCCGATTTACAACCAACCGAAACTTTTGGGTAATTTTCTTAGCTCTCAAGGAAACATTAATGAACTTTCCGGCCATTTAGCTCAAAACCAAATGCGGGGACATCCGGTGGCCAATACGGCAGCTGCCATCACGGCTGATCCCAACTTCACTGCGGCGCTGGTTGCGGCCATTACTTCCATTATTGGCAATTCTCATCGAGACAATAGCGGTGGTAATAACAACAGCACAACGTCGAGAAACACAGGGGACAACAATACTTGAATTAATGTATTTAATTTGATGTTTGTAACTTTTATTTTTCCTTAGAAAGTTGAGGTATATTTTAGTCATACTTTTTTCTTTCTTTCAAATTTTAGAACGATGTTACCTTCTAGGGTTTTATGTGTATACACATGCATGTGTAGATTCCGATAATTCACAGTCCCTTAGAAGATTCTTCAAGATACAGTTTGGTATTATTTGTTTGGTTTGTTTTTCCTTTTTATTTTTTATTTTTTAGGATTTGATGCTTAAAATGATAGAGTTTATTTGAGAAATTAATGCAAGGTATACCCTCAACTTCAAATACAACTAAAGGTCAGAAAATAAATAGTAGAGGCTAAACCTTGTTAAATTCTAGGTAGCATCTAGGTATTATTATTTGGGGGGCCAAATTAGACTTTTGAGGTCATGTATTAAGATAACGAGTGATTCATTAAAAAAAATAAAAAGTAAACAAAAATATAAATTTATTTTTTTAAAAAAAGAGTTTATCATAAAATTTCTACTATCATCAAATGGATCCACAACCATCATTATTCTACTATCTTTTAAATAAAAATTCAGGGTTTACATATGGATAACAACTTCCTCTAAAGATAGTTTTTAAAAATCAATCAAACAGTAGTAATAATGTAATATTTTCGGTTCGATTTAGATGAAAATCAGATTCAAGATGTTCTCGAACATTACAAACACACATATCACAGTTCATACAAAAACAATTTCATTTAGAAATTAATTTCATACTACGATTTTATTTGGGGGCAAAATTATAGTTTTATAAAAATTTAGTGACTAAAATAAAAATAACTAAAAATATGAAAAATCGAATGATTTGAGCGTACTTCTCTTAATTTTAGAAGATCTCGTCTTATTGCTTTTTATTTAAAAACCTAACAGAATAAGATAATTTATTAGTTATCTACTATACTTATCTTTTTTTTTTTATAGAAAGTCGATAGTTTTATTAAAAATAAAAAATATCCAAAAATATAATGAAGATTTATAAGCATAATCGTAAACCTAAAATATAATTACGACATTTTTCTATTATTATTTAGACAAAAAAAAATAGTCACCCAGATCACATAAGGACCAAAAAAGGAAAATGTTAAAAAATCTAACAAAAAAACTCGAATGAAATAAAGATACGAAGAAATATGCCTGCATCGGTAAACTAACCACAAAAGGGGATGAAACTATTGAAAGATCATCGACAAATCACAAATCAGAGTCAAGTGACGTGAGAAAATTATCCACGAACGCAAAACGCGTATCCAAATCAATCCGAAGGTCCAAAGCAGGAAAGATCATTATGATAACAAATAAGCATTGTCTTGATCGGTCGTGACGATGTCAAATCCAACCATGAGAAAAAAAGATAAACAAAACAACAGTAAAAAACTGTAAATAATGACAAAAAATCGTAAGCTACAAAAAACATGTCACAAAGACATGATTATTCTTATTAAAAAACTAAAAAAAGAAAAAAAGATAACTGACAGACGACAATCAGCATCAAAACCGGTGCCACTACCGGTTAAACAAAATTAAAGAAGAAAAAGTTGGATTGATCAATAAAATTGATACAAATTATAATGAAGAAAGAAAGAGAAAAGAGATGAAGAAGAAGAAAGGGCTAGAATTTTTTAAGAATATCTACCATAATTATCTTAAACTCAAATTATATGAGTAAGATAGATAATTTAACAGTTGAGTGATCAAAATAGAAACTATAATAGGTGGTTGATCAAATAGGTAGTTTACCCTAGAAATAATAATAATATTAACTATATTGTTATTTGATCATCTCAAACTTTTGTCACTTACTCGCAACCACTCATCACGAGGTCAACGGTTCTAATTAGCTCACCTCACCATTATTCTCATGCACTCGACCGAACTGGACTAACACTCTCAATTTCTTACTCGATAAGAAAAGGCCAACAAATTTAAAAAATACTATCGCAACTAACATGACTCCACGTGTACGGTTGTGATCCTCCAAGAAGCCGGTAATCTAAGTTAGGCAACACACCTTGCTTTAAACTACCGAATAAAAGGAGCTCAGATTCTTAACTTGAATGTCGCTGCTCAATCTGCTCTTCTTCAACTTTGAAATCATAAACAAAATTGTAAGAATCAATTTATTTTTTAGATTTCTTAGTCTTAGCTTATTTGTAATTTTCCTTTACTCTTCTCTAATCTTTGTCAAATATTTGATTGCAATCTTTTAGTGGGTTCTTTTTTGGTAGTAATTTTGCTTTTCTTTTTTAGGAATACTGTGTGATGTTTAGGTTTTAAGATCGCAGAAAGCCGAAATCACCTTGGAAAATAGAAGTTACTGAGTGAATATCTACTTTGACTTTGATTGATCATTGATATGAGTTCTTTTCCATGTTTGGTTGGTGAAATATTAGAGGATTTTCGTTGTTTCCTGGGAAAAGTGAAGCCTGATTAGTTAATTTCGATTGAACTCCATATTGGTTTCAATTATTTTCTACTAATTTGTGTAGAGCGACCATTTGATTTTAATTAAGATTCTCCTTAGCTTGAACCTAACTATTTTAACCCTTGCATTAAAACAATCTATTTTGACCTTAATAGCAATTATAGATAGTTTTATGTGTATGGTGTTGTGTTTTCCCAGCACCTAAAGATATTGAATTCAATCATAAATAGCATGGAATAATCACGACGTCTAAAAAATTGAGAATCTGTTTACTCTTTGAGGATATGATTTTACAAGGCAGCGAATAAGTGTTGTAGACTTGGGTGAACTGTGAATAGTTTTTATTGCCATGTAGGCAAAAATTTCAGAATCTGTTTACCCTTCGAGTATAATATTTTTTTCTGCTTGCCATTTGTAGTTCTGATAACATTTGACTTGCCTTCCCATTGCAGACTCGAAGTTACCAGAATGGGGGAAATAGATAGAACTATGGTTATCACTCTTTTTCTCTGTCTTTTGTTTCCTATCGTCTTTTCCACACCCAATGATAGATTGGTCAGAATTGGACTAAAAAAGAGAAAACTTGATCGGAGTGAACTGTTAACTGCTCGATCTTATTCCAAGGAGGGAGAAGCATTGAGAGGTTATCTTGGAAAGTATCATCATCTTGGAAACTTACAAGATTCAAATGATATCGATATTGTGGCACTAAAGAACTACATGGATGCTCAGTACTTTGGTGAAATTGGTATTGGCACACCACCACAGAAATTCACTGTAATTTTTGACACTGGCAGTTCTAATTTGTGGGTGCCTTCATCTAAGTGTTATTTCTCGGTGAGTTTTATTCATTAAGTTGTTATTGGAGTATTTAAGGGTTGGAGTTGTATAAATCTGGAATATTTCTAACGATTTTCTGGTGTCTGGGTGCAGATAGCTTGCTATTTCCATTCAACTTATAAGTCAAAGCGTTCGCAAACGTATAAAGCTAATGGTTTGTTTCTGCTTCTTGGTTCATTCTAAAATTCCTGAAATCTGTCTTCTTGATTATGATTTTTTGTATCATAAACTGCTTATTGTTTTTTGATCAATCTGTAAGTGCCACTGTCAACAATCTGCTTGTTGTCATGTATAATCAATTTTATTGTGCTTTAGATTGGAAAATTTTGCATACAGGTGACTGGAAGGATATTAATTGGAGTCAAAGTGAGGATAATGAGGCTGATGCTTATATGTTTTCTTTTAAATGACTCCACTTGCAGGTAAACCGGCAGCTATTCAATATGGCACTGGATCCATTTCTGGATTCTTTAGTGAAGACTATGTAACAGTTGGCGATCTTGTAGTTAAAAATCAGGTATCTTTGCTAATTTTTTTATTATATATATTTGCGCTGTAATTCACCAGCATGGCTGTTGATGATGGTCCATGTTTAGAAGTAACTTTTTTTTTCTTCATCTGCCTAGGAGTTTATCGAGGCAACACAAGAGCCCAGCTTAACATTTTTGCTTGCCAAATTTGATGGTATACTTGGTCTTGGATTTCGAGAGATTTCGGTGGGAGATGCTGTGCCTATGTGGTATGTAGTATCCTCTTTTTTGTTTTTATGTGCTTTTTGTTTCAGTTTTATTGGCTTAAGATGCTTAAAGTGAAGCAATTAAGGATGCTACTGCTGGATCCTAGGGTTTTGACTCTGTTGAGTGCTCCAGGTACAATATGGTCAATCAAGGTCTTGTTAAGCAACCAGTTTTTTCATTTTGGTTTAACCGCAACCCCGAGGATGATTTTGGCGGGGAATTGGTATTTGGCGGGATTGATCCTAAACATTTCAAGGGAGAACATACTTATGTTCCTGTAACACAGAAAGGATACTGGCAGGTTCGGATTTTAAACATTCCTTGTGTGTTACACAATATATTTGACTTAATGTATCCTTTTATGATGTTACTGTTTGTTTGGCTTGCAGTTTGATATGGGTGATTTCCTGATTGGTAATGAAACAACAGGTGAGAAATTGTCCTCATTGTTACCTAATGAAAATAATTGGCAAAAATGTTTCATGATATTCTGCTTAACATTATAACGATAATTGATAAGGGACATGCAAATATTTTGTTTTCTTTTATTGGTTTCCTTACGCTCATTCCTTTTACAGGATTTTGTGCCGGTGGCTGCAGTGCTATTGCTGACTCAGGCACTTCAATGTTGGCTGGTCCTACGGTTTGTATTAATTTGTCTTTTTATGTGTATGCATGCTTGTGTAGCTGTGCTTCTTGTGCAAGGTTGTTGTCAAGTGTTGACCATGTTTTGTCCATTCTATGATGGTTTCTTATGGAAACATTGGATGTATTATTATGTCTATGGTCAAATTTGTCCTTTTGCTAACAATTCTAAGCAATAGTTGAACTCCTATCCTTCCACTAAATGATTCTCAGGCTGTATCGGTACTATTGCTAACGACCGAAGTAACAATGCGTTCCTAATTAGGATGTGTTGTTTGTAACCACTTAAGTTTCATTCCATAACCTCTTAAGTTTGTTTCCATCTTGTGATTATAGATGCGTATGATTATAAGTGTTTGACAGAGTGCTAATAGTAATCATTGCATTGACCTTGTGCATGCATTTCCCATTGCTGACAAAAATGGATTGTTTTTCCTGGTCTTCTGTCGGTGATTTTTTCTTATAACATGTTTTCAGGGTATCATTACTCAAATCAATCATGCTATCGGAGCATCAGGGGTTGTAAGTCAAGAATGCAAGGCTGTAGTTTCTGAATATGGTGATAAAATAATTGATATGCTAATAGAGAAGGTATATGATCTATTTTAGTTTGCTTTTATTGTGATGCAAATGGCATCTGAAGATGATTAAAGTATTTATTGCTCTGCAATTCCTAATTATTCTATCTATTATCATGCACTGACAGGACCAACCGAGGAAAATTTGCTCGCAGATAGGTCTGTGCATGTTTGATGGAACTCAAGGTGTAAGGTTGTACACAAATCTCTTCTGTTTTCCACCCTGTTTCCTATCTTGATTGAAGTTGCTTAACTTAAATCAGTGAGCTTAGAAATACTTGAATTCATCTTACTGAATGTGTTATGTTGCTTCGTTGACTTGTAAACTTTATCACGTTCAGTATGGGGATCGAAAGCATTTTAACTGAGAATGTTGGAAAAGCCTCTGGCGGTTTACGTGATTCTATGTGTTCTGCCTGTGAGATGGCAGTTGTATGGATGCAAAACCAGCTTACGAAGAACCAGACAGCCGAGCGTATACTTGACTATGTCAATCAGGTGAATAAGCATGCCCTTTTCACGACCTTTGAGTATATCACAGCTAGTTCATTTCCGGGCTTATGTTTTCAGAAATTTGTAATTGCAGCTCTGTGATCGGATACCTAGTCCAATGGGAGAATCAAGTATTGATTGTAAAAGTCTTTCATCTATGCCTAACGTTTCCTTCACAATTGGCGGAAAATTATTAGAGCTCAGCCCTGAGCAGGTATGATATACTATGCTGATTTTTTCTTCAGGTACATCAGTCTTTTCCTTCGATGTGGTTCATGATCATGAACCACCGAGTTGGTTGCAATGTCATGTTAGTGTTCAGTGATTCTCTCTTTTTACGACCTTTCCTTTTTTTTTTTTTGGGTGATGGGAACCAGTATATCGTGAAAGTGGGCGAGGGCGATGCCGCTCAATGCCTCAGTGGATTCACAGCTCTGGATGTACCACCTCCCAGCGGACCTCTCTGGTATTCTTTTTCACTCGTCCACATACATAACCAAGGATAATTATGTCGTCTATGATTAAAACTCATAATTATATTAGACATTAACTCTTAGGCCAGAGAACATTCAATGCCTTGATAATCAAACTACCATTCATCGATATACAGGATCCTCGGCGATGTCTTTATGGGCCAGTTCCATACCGTATTTGACTACGGGAACATGCAAGTTGGATTTGCCGAGGCTGCGTAAGCGAATCTTCTCTACATTTGAACGCCTCAGCTTTACTGCAGTGTTTGTAGTACTCTTGAAAGTTAATACCGTGCGCACACAATAATTGACATGTAAATACTTCGTGCAGCACGATCTGTAATTTTCCCTGGATTGTTTCTTGTTATGCTCTTTGGTTAAGGAAAAGATTCCACGAGACCCTTCCCGATGGCTTTATCTATAATGCAACACGTCTTTTGGTTAAGAATTTAAATTACTAATGATACAATTTATAATTAGTATAAAAAAATAATAAGAATTTTAAAAGAACCTGAAAATAGAAAAAATAGAGAAAAAGAAGAAGGGAAATATCGGAAAGTAAAAGATGGATAATTTTTCTTTGTGAACCTCAAAAGTACTCAATGATATAAGTATCTTGTATCGATATTTATGTTAAATTGAAAGTGACAACTAAAAATATTAAATTGATGTTTACTTTGGGTACAAAACTAAGAAAATGACAAAGTATGAGGACTAACTGAATATTTAACGCTTACTTGTTTATTCCCTCCTTCATTCAACTGATTTAAGGCATGCAAGTGGCTTACACGGAACTTGTTTTTCATGTGTGGAAGAATCCATTGGAAGTTACAGCAGCGAGGTAATTAAGTTGGGATAACATTATCCAGCCAAGAGTTTAAAATAGAATAGGTGGCATTATAAAAGGACGAATTTATGTGGGATTTTGATGTTCACCCATATGCTTTGCTGTGCAAATGTAGTTGGAAAATATTAGTAACTTTTAGATATACATCTTAATATCATTTTATCAAAAATAAAATTATACCACTGTTAAACCCCAAATCAATTTTCAAGATTTCTAACTATTAATATTAATCATTGTTCTATATCAATATTTTTATCACTGGACTCAATTATCAATCGAAAAACTAAATCAATTTTTGGATGTAATACCCACAAAAAGTTATCTAAAAAGAAAAAGGGTAAATTACACAGTTCTTCACTGAACTTTATTCTCTCATATTTTACTCATCGTACTTTCAATTTTTTTAATTTGTTCATTGAACTTTACAGATTGAATCATTTTGCTCACTCTTCTGTTATCTATGTAACATTTTGGTGTATATTTGAGTTTTTCAAAACGACGTCGTTTCGATGCTTGTGTCGTGTCATAACACCTTTAAAAAGTTAACGGCAAAGTGAGCAAAATGATTCAATCTGTAAAGTTCAGATATCAAATTAGAAAAATTAAAAGTACAGTGAGTAAAATAGGAGATAGAATAAAACTCAGCGAGAAATATTATAATTTACGCAAAGAAAACATATATTTAGATGGAAAACAATGATTAGATTGATTAGAGGAGTGATTAGACATAGGATTATTGATACGTAAAGAGTAAGGGCAGAATACAATTGTAAGTGGAAATGGAATTTATTCAGCCAGGCCCAGCGAATCTGAAACAAAGATTTATTATTATCATAGCTGTTTCGATGCCCACAATGTCAGTCTTTGGGTTTTGCTTTGGTTTATGTCTGTACAGCTAATTACACTAAGATTGGGTAAGAACCAATGTTCATGTACACCCCATTCCCCTAATCATTAAGCAAACAAAAACAGTGTAAACACAACACATTACTACGGTTTGTAACGTTAAGTTTTTGGATGAACTAAAAAAATTTATAGGTACTTATTTAACGAAAAAGATATATTTTGGACACTTATTTGGGAATTAAGCCTAAATGCAAAACATTTATGACTCATGCATATTGAAGAAATGAGGGTAAAGTACATCAATCATCACTGAATTTTACTCTCTCTCCTATTTTACTCAGTGTACTTTAAATCCGTTCAATTTCCTCACTGAATTTAATATAGTTAACATTTTTGGTCACTCAGTTAAAACGACGTCGTTTTAGAAAAACAAAACTTTCACTAAAACGACGTTATTTTGCATCTGTATAACAATTCATTTATAACGCCGTTTATTGAGAAAACGACCGAGTGACCAAAAATACTAATTATGTTAAATTCAATGAGAAAATTGAACGAATTTAAAGTGTGGTGAGTGAAATAGGAGAGAGTGTAAAGTTCAGCGATGATTGATGTAATTTACCCGAAGAAACAAGTCTATGTTTACAGCTTGTGATTTAAGCTAAACCAAATAGAATAATTAAAAGTCCCTAATTGTGTTCACACTGTTAAAAGTCCAGACTGATTTGTCCTGGCGCCGCAATGATTCACAGTACTAATTAGAAGATTAAAATGAACCCATAATGTTGTAATGGTCAAACTCTGGTTTTTTCCTCTATTATGTTCAAATTAGTATTTAGTCCTTATATATTATTTTGTCCCTCTATTTTTATAATATCATTAGTTAGTACAAATAATTAGTATGTTAACTATTTGGACTAATAAATGATATTATATAAGTAAGGATCAAATTTTATCAAATTAAAATATAAGGACTGAATACCCACTTTCAGTATAGTAAAAGGATTGAAATCAAATTCGACCTATTATAAGTAACCACCCGCAATCTCGGCACGTGCTCATGCGTCTTCGTGTGAATGGTATTACAAGCTAAAGCGACCGCCATCCATGACGCCGTCCGTAGGAGATCAGCAAGCACTCATATCACGCCACGTGGTACATTCTTGCCCTATGAACTAAAAAAAACCACGTCTAACAAAGTTAGAAAAAAAATTGTCAATAAGAATCTTTCCTAAATTGTTGCTTATGCTTTGGTGTTTGGATTAAGTCACCATAACCAAAGCATTTATATATATATATATATATATATATGCATATTATATCATAAGTGAAAAGACCCATATTTTTCTTCTTTGTTTCTCTCTCTCTCTCTCTCTAATGGAGTGGATTAGAGGACCAGCAATAGGCCGAGGCGCCACGGCCACCGTGTCTCTAGCCACTTCGATTCCTTCCGGCGACCTTTTCGCCGTTAAGTCGACCGAGTTATGTCGCTCTACGTTCTTACAACGAGAGAATTATGTGTTGTCCAAATTAAGCTGTCCTCACATAGTTAAGTACATAGGGAATGATGTTGCGAATGAAGCGAACGGCAAGGCTACGTACAATCTATGCATGGAGTACGTTGCCGGAGGTACGCTTTCAGAAGAAATTCGTAGGGTCGGAGGGGAATTGGGTGAAGAGAAAGTTAGATTGTATACTCATCAGATTTTACAGGGTTTGAGTTATCTACATGTTAATGGAGTGGTACATTGTGACATCAAGAGCCAAAATATTTTGATCGGCAAAGAAGGTGCAAAGATTGCTGATTTGGGGTGTGCTAAATTGATGGGAAAAGACGGTGAAGATGTCGGTTTCGACATGTCGGCGATTTCAGGTACACCGGCTTTCATGGCGCCGGAGGTGGCACGTGGGGAGGAGCAGGGTTTTGAAGCTGATATATGGGCACTTGGATGTACAATTATAGAGATGAGCACCGGGAATTCACCATGGCCGGAGCTTAATGATCCGGTGTCCGCTCTGTATAAGATCGGATTCTCTGGGGACGTGCCGGAGATTCCGAGATGGTTATCCGAGGAGGGAAAGGATTTCCTTGGAAAGTGTTTGAAGAGGGATTTGAAAGAGAGGGGGACAGCTGAAGAATTGCTTCAACATCCATTTTTGGAAGAATCAGATACCCTTTTGAAGGAAGTAAAGGAATCCACCATGGATTCTCCCAATTCTGTGTTGGATCAAGGTTTCTGGGATTCACTCAACGTGATGGAAAGCCAAAAGAATTTGAATTCCAGAGAGATTTCCATGAATTCTCCAGCTGATAGAATCAAGAAATTGATTCAATCTACTCTGCCACCACCTTCCAATTGGACACTGTGTGAAGAGGATTGGATCACGGTTAGAAGCAGTAGCATTGAACAACACAATGAATTCCAATTTTCATCTGTGTCATCCATGGATTCATACGAAGAACTCGAAACCGAAAGCTCGATCTCCGAAGAAGTTTTCTTCTTAGACAACTCTGCAGAAAACACCATTGATTTCACCTCTACTCTGGTATTTGACAGAGATGATATTTTTGTATCAGATGATCTCAATTTTGAGAAAATTAATGAAATTTCTTGTTCTATTCCAATGCTAATCCCCCCGGCAGAGACTACCGGCCTGTATCATGCCGCCGATGCCAGTGATTAACTTGTGTGAACAGAGGACACTTAAAGGGTTAGGTAGATCAGATAAGAAAAAAGAAGTGAACTTTGGCTTCTCTGCAAGCTTAGGTTAGGTAAAGAGTAGCAACTAATTAATCAACCTTAACATATTCTGCAATAGGCAGTAATCCATACGGCGATTATACTACTCGGATTCAAGACTAGTATCGAACCGCAACACGGGTAATTTTACGTATATTCGAAGATTTCAACACGAATACTTCGAGAAAAATAAAGAATCGAATCAACATAGATGTTAGATAGTCAAAATACCTTGCACTGCAACCTAATATTCCATTGATCTCTGATTAGTTCCATCAGTTTCTTCTAGAGAAGATGTATGATTATGGAGACTGGAAGGTGGGCTTGACTTTTCAATAATCCATGGGGACATTGACTTTTAACAGAAGTCAAGCTATGAGGAAGGTCAACGCATGTGAAAACAAAAAGAGGGTTTCTAGGTAGCAACAATGGAGAAACCAACATGTTGCAACAGTTTACCAACTTTTTTGTACGAGTCAACCGATGTAAAACCCAGACTCAGTATTTTCCTACAAAAGTCTTCATTTCTTTAATTACTTGTTATGACCAAGTACTATTAACCAAAAAATCTACACACTGCAACAAACAACTTGTAAACATGTTTCTTTCTTGTCAAGAAACAAACCTTGAGAGAAATAGACGACAGAACGTGTGAATAAACAGTATAGATCTCTATAAACCATGCTGTTGAGGAAATGGATCAAAGACTGCATATTCCTCGGTGAATACGTTTAGTCTTAGACGGTCGATGTATTCGAAGTAGGCCGATGTATTGAAACATGCAGGAATACTCTATGACCAAATCTTCAACAGTAGTGCAGCTGGAGAAAAGACCTTTAATTGAATCTTCGTCCCGAAACACTATTTCAGATGATGAGTCTTTCGATACGGAAAATGAACACCCTCCGGAAGATAACATGCATGATAGAATGAATATATAGTTTCAAAGATCCAATTAAACTGGGATATAGCAAGGTTGTGATCCTGATTTTCAGCAGAAGTTTGACATTTTACTGTGCAACAGATGATCTTTTCTGTATCAGACAAATCTTAATATGTAAAGCGTAAAGATAAGACACTGAAATGCAGATTGCAGAAGTTAACATTCTTTTTATATTTTTTATCTTATTAAAGCATATGACCTTGTCTTATACATGACATTTCACTTCCTAAATTCTAACACCAATTGTTCATGTTGAAGATATTGCCTTCTTTGGGTATTCTTCATGATCAGCAAGCTTTAGATGAGGCATTGGTTTCATTTCTTCTGCAGCCTCCTTCCTCCTCTTTGTTTCAAGCTCTTTCATGTAGTGATGCAGTCTATATGTAACCAGTGCAAGGAATATAGCAAACCCTGAAATATATATATATATATATATATAATTGTTTTGTGTCAAAACTGAAGTTTTCAGACATTTTTTATGAAGTTATGAACTGAGTTGATGAATGTAGAGTTACCCATTAGAGATGCTTCCAAGATTCGATTTGCCATTAGGACCTCGTCGGTTGGATTAAGAAGACCGCTTTCGAATGATCGTTTCTGGATCTCTACCACATTGTAAGTGATTGAGATGAAAACAACAAACAATGTTCCTAGAACAGTCTTTGAAACCACAGGGCCTTTGCCTTCTTTCATCTTGTCTAGAATCTTGATCACCAGTTTCCTTAGAGGAGAAGTGAAGAGAAGCACCAAAACAAGTGCCATTTCGGCCGAAACGAGCATGAACAAGAGATGAATCATCTCGATCGATATACGTATTTGACAAATTGCTGCAATGGTTTCTGGGGGGGGGGGAAGTCGCGTACAATTTATGGGGGTGAGAAAATGGGATGGAAAACCAAAAGCTTACAATTGAAAATGTTCAAGAACATGTTGAAATTTTGGTATCCGCTTCAAAACTTCAGCTCCCTATTCAATTAAAGAATTATACTTTCCATTACCACAGGAAGGATTAACAAGGAGAATCAGAATAACTTGCAGCCTCAGTTTTCAAGCAGCATAGACTATGTTATGCCGACTCTTTCTTTTCTCCGAATTCTCGCCGATATTTATTTCCGACACATTCGGACATGAGTTTGGAGACACATGTATGGAAGCAACCTTGACCCGTAAATTATTTTTGCTGTTACTATCAAAACCCTGGTCGCTTCCCCGTAAAGCAGCTCCAGAGACATGTATGGAAGCAACCTTGACCCGTAAATCCTTTTCGCTGTTACTATCAAAACCCTGGTCGCTTCCACGTAAAGCAATTCCAGCCATCATTGCCGCTGTGGCTTTGATTCAATTGACGGAATTTAATAAAAAGCATTCCAGTTATCACGATCTGCTCCGATATGTGGCGCATTTCAACTCTTATCTACTACAATATCCATTATATCATACATCTCTTGCAACAACATTAATGAATCGGAGATGATGATTCAAACATGAACAAGTAAAATATAAAACCTCAAAATGTGTTGCCAATAACCAGAAAACTTTGTATTAAGGCAAAACCAAAGACATTTCATGCCGTGTGTGAACTTGAACCGCGAACGGTGTAAGCAAATATCTTATTTTGCACAACAGATACTAGAAATATGTATATATCAATACTCGATATGGTTCAAAAGTGGCCACCGGCAATTCCGAAACCCATTAAAGGGTGAATCGAGAAATGAAACCCTACAAAATTTCAGTCATTTATTCTTCTTGTTTATGAAGCCACAAGGTAAACACCGAGCGTTTATGAGTGCCAGAAAACCAAGAGATATCTGAGCAGTTGCTATTAAGTTTAGGGCTTTCATACATCAAGTAGCAGCCTGCGAGGGTCTTCCACAATATCTTTGATACGACGCAAGAAGAAGACAGCCTCTCTTCCATCGATCAACCTGTGGTCGTAAGTGAGGGCAATGTACATCATCGGTCTTGGGACTACATTACCTCCAACAACCATTGGGCGGGACACTATTGAGTGCATACCCAAGATAGCCGACTGCCAAAAAATTTATTTAATCATGTCAGGTTCTCTTGCTGGTCCAAAGCAATATGAGTACGTCACGACGACAGAGAACCCACAGAAGCATGTGTAAGTGTACGCATATTCTGTTTATAACCACTAACCTGAGGAGGGTTGATAATAGGGGTGCTCAACAGACTTCCATAAACACCACCGTTGGATATTGTAAATGAGCCTCCAGCCATTTCATCAATTGATATGGTCCCATCAGTTGCCTTCTTTGCAAGGCCATTGATCGTTTTCTCTATCTCGGCAAAATTCATTTTCTCAGCATCACGGACAACCGGAACAACAAGCCCCTGGCAGGAAAGATAAAGAACAAAAAGCTTAACATAGAAACATGAACCACATTCTTATTTTTTTTTCCTTACTTTCAGTGGCTATGCAGTTAGGAGGTCCATTCATACGTTTATAAACACTAGGCTATACCACTGGCAACTTTCAAGTTTAGAAAAAAGAATTGTATAATCTTCTAGATATCTCATTTTCTCATTTTTCATGGAATAGATAAAGCAACTTCAGCTTGGTGATAAAGAAACAAATGAAAAACAAGACCCTTCAACAACTAATTTTCTTTAACTGTCACCTATGATAAAATTCTGAACCTGCTGATTCCTCATTTCATTTTTAAAATCTGCTCTAAGTTCACACGAAATTTACAGTTTTAATACAATTTTTACATGCATAAAACTCACAGATCTATAAGTTTCTTCGGAAACTAGAAAGAAAGGTAACAATTAAAGCTTTAGCAACCCACCAACTAAGTCTTAGCTTGGTTGGCACCTTTGTCGCTATATCATTCTGGAGGCTATGGGTTTGAATGCTCTTAAGCATGCAGTAGCCACCAATTTAAGGGTTTGGAGAGTTATGGGGAGTAGAGGCATTGTATGAAAAAAAATCCTCCAGCAAGCCATTATATGGCTAAATTGTGATTTGGCAAATCAGATAACATTAAAGAAAGACGAGCACAAAATGGATTTTACCTTCGGAGTACCAACAGCAATGCTGATATCTATGTAATCCCTATAAATAATATCATCCCCGTCAATGACAGCATTTACAATAGGCTGATGCTGAAGTGCACTGACAGCAGCCTGAAATAATAAAATAGAAGAAATGGTAAGGGGAAAATGTGGTGTAGACAGGCTATGAATTGATACATGAGAATTTCAAGAACAAATATTGCATACTTTAACAAATCCTGACATAAATCCCAACTTGACACCATGTTTCTCAACAAAAGCATCCTTGTAATCAGAGCGAAGCTTCATCAGATTAGTCCTGCAACGAGAAGCAAATGAATTAGAAAAGAATAACAGAATCGGTTTTTATCAGAAATATACCATAGCCTTTATAAAGTATTCTGATTTAATTAACTTCACAGAAAATTTGTAACAGACGTGTTAAGCAAATAGTTCTCTACAGACCAAATGGAAATGTTCAGAAAGTTGGTTAGCACAGATAGTCTGCAGGATGCATGACACAAATTAAAATATGAGCGAAAAGAGATCCCACATGTCGACTTCATTGAATGTTGTCAACATTGCAAAAGTATTTTGAGAATCTTTCAACCGAGTAGCAACCCGTTTCCGAAGTCTTGTCATAGGAACCTGTAATCATGAAGCCACTCAGTCGACTTATTTTCTATGATGCCCAACATCATTTTTCACCAAACATATCGTTAGAATGTAATGAGAAAATGACAAAACTTACTCTTCTTTCCCTTTCCTTGGGGGGAAGTACAGGTTCAGTAGCAGTTCGTTTTGGAGGTGATGGAGCAGGGGCTTTAGGCTTCTCCACAGCAGGAGAAGCTTCAACTTTAGCTTTTGGCTTATCCTCCTTTGCTGATTCAAGAGGAGGAGAAGGCTTCGAAGCAGCTTTTTCTGGTTTCTTTTCAGCAGGAGCAGCAGGTGCTGCACCCTCGGCGGACTTTGAAATGATAGCAATTTTGACACCTGGCTCCACAGTATCTCCTTCCTTGGCTACATACTGGCAAGAATTGTAACATTTATATTCGAGATCCAATGCAGTCCCCTTGCTCCCAACAATGAGAAGATAGGAGTCTAGAAATAACCAACAAACTAGACAAGTGCATGCTGTTTGACCAAAGGTACAAATTTATTGATATAGTATAATTACCTCTTGTATCACACCATCTTGAGGGCTGACAACATCAATTGTTACCTGATGAATATAAATACTACATGTATTAGAGGTGTATACACATACCTTTTAAAGAAGAAGAGTGAAGAAATAGTACCTTATCTGTCTCTATTTGAGCAATTGGTTCATCTGCTGCAACTCTATCACCAGGTTCTGCTCTCAAAAATTCAAATATATCCACAATCAAGCACTTACAACCATGAAAAAGAACATGTCTAGTAAAGGATGGAAATTACAATAATTGAAAACATACTTTTCAAAAATGTTGCCAAAGTGCCATCAGTAATTGATTCTCCCATGAAAGGGACAACAGCATCAACCAGATCACCTTCACCAAAAGTAATATGTGGAAGTTAATAAAATTTTTAAACTAACATAAAAAAGGAATATATGGTTGTACCAAGCAGAAACAAAAACGTGGAAGCCAAGGACCTGCTAGTCTAGTACCACAATAGTGTTACTCCAACTCATTATACGACAAAATTACACCCAAAATCTCCATACTACTGCATTCACACTTTTGCAGAGAAAGAATTTAAAACAACCTCCGGGTTAAGATTATTTTCTTATTTTGACATACTGCCTGACCTAGTACCTCTTGGTAAGCCGGCCCTATTGCTAACTGCTAAATGAGCTTGATAGTACTTAGTTGCTAATGGTCTAATCCAGATAAATTGCTCATCAAATGAACAATTAGAATATACAGGAACTAAATTCTAACAAAACCCCAAATGCCACACCCATGTTTTAATAATAGTAACCAGTTTAAACAAGGAAAAAACGCTAATAGGCATTTGGTAAAATTAATATCATAGAGGACGTTGATCAATATCATACCATCGCCAGAAGAGAAAGCCTTGCATGACTTTTGCATGATAGTCTCCGACTGAATGCTAGAGATGACATCCCTGCACATAAGAAAAGCTGTCAGGGGAAAGAAGTGCCAAGGAGCGGTAACTGATCTAAAGAACAAAAAAAGCACGGGCATTGGAATTTCCTTTCTAATTTCCCTGACTACTATAGTTTCTGGATAAACAAAAATGAGGTGGACTAATTAACACTGAAATGGACCTTCTGATAATGATAGATATGCTAATCACCCTACATAAATCATATCACTCCTGCAGTTCACTCATATCCTCACCGTGATAAAAAATGACGAACCAGTGACAGTACAATTCCAAAAATTGATATGGGTTACAAAAGTTCACTACCAACTAACCTTGTCTTTGTCAAGCCAGCAGAAGAGCCTGAAATAATGAAGAAATAATTTCAATTAATAACAACGACAATCAACAGAATTTTACCAAAATGAGAACAAAACAAAGCCAAAGATTTACCTGGTAGAACAAGATGAGAGAAGTTGCGGACATGGACAATTCCCCTCGGCTGAAGAAACATAATCTGTTCAAACACTTAAATTTAATTCTCGTGAGAATGGTTACCAATGTATGATAAAAATCCAAACATCTTCTACATAAATTAAAGGTTTAATAGCAACAAATAACGACATCAATCAAAATTCAAGAGAAACCGAACCACTAGCAAGGTTATCGAATAATATTCAATTTCAGCTGAACTATTTACCTCTTTTCCAACATTTGAAGACACTCTAGATGCTGAAACGCTCGGTCGAATCACCTGCAAGGACTTCCCTAATACCTGTAAAAGAAATGGAAAAAACAATTCAATAAAATCCCAAGTGCTTTATCCTTTAGCTGAACAAACCACAATTAAAAAAAAAGAGGTTAAAAGTTCTAACCGAAGCTGATGAACCTCCGGTCGCAACTTTTCT